TTGTGATCATAATTGACTGAAATATTAATTTAACGGATGATATATAACTGAGTCCACGAATGACCACATCCTGAGTGGACAGTCGGACAGCAAATCCGCCCAAAAGAAAGAGTACGAGAAAAAAGGCGACGCCTATAGTAGTGGCCAATTGATAATTTTGTGCAAATATGATCCCGACTATATTGCCAAAACTGTTAGCAATAAACATACCGCACACCTGTCCCATAAATGAAATATTATTTATATGAAAAGTATTTTTAAAAACATTTACCGTAACAATAGTGAAGTATGAGTAGCGAAATGTTTGGGGTAACTGTCCCGTACAGAAGTACATAATCGTTGAATAAACTACTGATATGACTACACAGACAGGGATTTCGACAAATAATTTGCTCCAATAGTAAGAACTCGTTGAATACCACCGGTTGTGGTGTTCGCTGAGAAATATACGGACTTCCGATGGGAACACCAGTATAGTGCAGGCCATGGATACAAACCCGAGACACGTGACCGTAAAGAATAATAGTTTCACGTTTTGAATGACATCCGACTCTTCGCTCATTATTTTCAACGCCTCCTCCAGTGATGTGGTCTTAAATATGGAGGTATTTGTGAGATATAAGTCAAGACACCCGTCCGCTTCTCCCACATGAAAGCCATACAAATAACTCAAACAAAATGCTATAAACAGGGTAAAGATGCCGAGTCCTGAGTATACGATCCAATCGTATCTGAGCTTAATTTTAATAATAAAAATTAAATATTAGTAAATAAAATATCAATTCAATTTTATACATACAAAGCATGTAAATCCACGTAATGTTAAATAAAATAAGTGATAAAAATTAAAGTATAAGTTATGTCTAGAAATGCTTTTGGAAACCAATTTCCCGTTTTGCCGAAACTCATCCCTAGTACTCATCGTCTGATTCTTGACGGCATCGATAAGTCTATTGATGTCATATTCTGTGTCACCATTTTCGCTGCAAATCTAATTATGATTATAAATCATAACATAATTGTATTTAATATAAGATAATATTAATTTGTAGGAAACCTTAAATTTATGTGAATTGTTGTAATTTAACTTTGAATCTAATGCTTGATTTGAAAAATTTGATGATATCTTCAACAAGAGTTCAATCGGGAGGACATCTTCAGCACATGTGATGCCACATCTGAGGAGATGTCCTCTGAGGAGGTTTGGGGAACCCGTGAAGACACAGTGACCTCCTTTTGAGAGGACATACAACTCATCAAACATTGACAGCAGGAGTGAGTTTGGCTGATGTATTGACGTCACGATTGCCATCCGATGTCTCTCTGATAGTTGTCTCA